TTAGCTAAGAAAGCCGTTTTGAAACCACAAAACATCATAATAGTGGATTGTAGAGAGGAAGTCAAGCTAGAACCAAACAGAAGTATTTATAAAGGCAAAATTTTTGAATATTCTTGAAACTAAAATTTACAATTAAAAAAGCCGTTTTAATCTCAGGTCAAGCCGCTCAGTCATCCAAAAAGGCTACGACCGATGAAACTTATAAGTCCAGTAATTGCCTGTTGACTGTGGAGAAGATTTTATTAAATAAACAGAAAAAACGCTTTGGGTAGACTTTGTATTAAAGGCTTATTTAATGTATGAATAATTATAGTATATATCAATAATATTATCAATAATAAACAACAAAATAAATGTTTTAAATATGCTCTTGGGGCGAAATACGTTATCCATCTCGTAAATGTTATTGAATCCTTAATCCTGTATAAGTAGATTGTTTTCTTATCTATCTTAGCATAAATGCAGGAGGTGATTTATTATCTATTATATAAAATATATATATTTTTTCTTATTTCTTATTATTCTTTATTATTTGTTAATATTTTTTTATCGAAAAAAAAACAAAGTAAGTCTTTTCGTTTTTTTGGCTAAACCCCTTAGTTTGTGACATTGAATCACTTAAAAAAGGTTTTTCCACATTTTAAATAAAGCTGGATATACACATATCGCTATCATCAAAGTTTCTTCTAACTGCATTTGCAATAATTCTCATTCTCGGTTAGGCCTTTCTTGTAAGTATCTACCTCCAACAGACAATGTTTTAGGGGTGCGTCGTTATTACAGTGTTTCCTTCACGGCTCAGAAAGAAGAAAATTACACAACTCTAAGCTCATATTGTCACTTTTCATTTGTGGCAGTGTTCGCTCTTCTTGAGTAATCCATATAATTTTCTAGAAATAATATATTAAATATATAGAATATCCTAATCACGATATAATAATTTGTAATATTATAATTATTTATTTTAGTATAAAATTTGTTGGATTTTATTGCACTACCTCCGTACTTTGGTTGTTTGCACTCAGTATATTTTCATAATTTTAAGCGTCAGACCCCGCCGTTTACTCCCTTTTTTGCTGCTACTTAAACTTACTCCTTTTCTTCTCTGTTCAGATATGCATTTGTGTGGTTTTTGCATGAACATTTCATTCTTGGTACTTCTAAGGAAGCTTCTTGGAGATTAGCTGCTTTGTGGTTGATGTTTTTGTTTTCATGATTTGGTTTTTTCAGTAAAGTTTTTGCTCCCACAGCTGTTGTTCTTGTATATTTTTTGGCTGTGACTTCCGTTTCCTCTGATATTTCCTGCAATATTTTTATCCTGAAAAATGCTACTCTTCGCTTTATAAGCTAGTATTACTTTTATTTTTAAAAGAACTTTTATTTTTACTTCATTTTCGTTTATGGAATTTGTAAGTATGCTTCAGTTTTTTATATTTTCTTACGTTTTGCCGTATGCAGCAAGAATTTATAACATTTTTCAGATACGAATAATATTGAGAGACATGAGTACTCTACCAAAGTAAGACTCAAGCAGTTTCTATAAAAATTGTAGTTTAATTAATTCAGAAAAAAAAATTGCAAATACATTTATAAATTTTTTTTATATATTATTTTTGCTTTATTATTTTTATTTATTAATATGGTTTTATTTGTATTTATAATGACAGATCATAAATTTTTTATTGGAAAAAGAAATATGAGTCAAAAAACATTTAAAAATCAACAGAAATCTAAAAGAAATAAAAATTTATTTTATAAATTAAAATATTAAATCACAAAATTATGTACATACAATCTCCTTTTATGAATATTTTTTTTTTTTTGCGGCAAGGAATAGTGGAATGCCTACGCACTGACCACAATCCGGCGCCCCGCAAAATGAGTGATCGACTCGCACGGACTAAACTACTCCCACTCATTCCTAGAGACCTTGTACCACGCCGGGACTACGTCAGTATTACTTCGAGGTAGAGTCCCTATTAGTCTTTTAAGAATTCCAACAATGTGACCTGTGAAGACAGGCACTTCTGTCAAGGTCTACTTTTTTCAATCTCAAAATGTTTTCAGCAAACATTTTTAAGCGGGGTGATTCTTTAATTGTTAAAGTACCTAGGTACTGCATTAAAAAAAATCATTTTTTGAAAAATTTTTTATTTAAATCAATATTTCGACTTTATTCTATAGTCACCCTCAGGGTACTAAAGTACCTAGGTACTGCATTCAAGATGCTAAAGTACTTGAAGATGACTATAGAATTATTTGACTATATATTATAGTCACCTTTAGGTGTTTCAGTACCCTGAATTCAGTACACAGGTACTTCAGTACCCTGAAGATGAATATGGAATATAATCGAAGTATTAATTTAAATAAAAATTTTTTAAAAACCAGATTTTTTTTAAAAATAATATTATTTAAAAAATGATAAATCAGCCCGTTTCAAAAACAAAATTATTATTAAAAACTTTAGTCATTTAAAACAATAAATTATTTATTATGAAAATATTATTGTAATTTTTTACAATAATCGGTACAATAAACGGTACCCCCACAAGCTAGGGGCTGTATTCCTAGTAGGTTCTTTGAATATTAGTGCAATAAAATAACAAAAAACAATTCTATTAGTAAAACAGTCCTCTTTCGTCATAATTGTCTTTAAAAATTAGTAATCAGATATTGTTTTTTTTGTAAATTAATTTATATTAATGTGGAACGAGAATTTTTATATGAAATTAGTACATTAAGTAAGTTTTCACTCGGCGCAGAATTCAAAATTAATCTCTATCTAGATTCTTGTGTTTTAATTTAAAAAATATTTAATTTATATTTATTTAAATATTTATTTTTTTAACATATATATTCATATACATATAGACGGAATTGACGTAGTGTCACATATTTAAATCTATAATAAATCTTTTTTCAAGATAATACTACCTTTAAGTGAAGTTTTACATATAATATAACTCCCCAGTAAAGCACAAACTTCAAGCTGATTCTAATCTTAAGTCACAAAAACTTTTTTCATGCTTATAAAGCCTACCCATATACCTTTGTAATATTACTTACATTAAAAGTTCTGAATAAAGAAACTTCTTGAATTTTATGAGAACATTATGAAATTTTTTTCTTTGTTCATCATATCTTCTCATTCATTGTAACTCTTTCTTCGAGTATCTCAAAATTTTCGGTATCATATACCATACAAATGCCATCCATATAAGATAAGTTCTAGGGACATTAGCTAATAGAGTATAGAATATTCATAGTTTATTCGTAAAAACATCATAATATAATTCATCATATATTTTGTTAAATATTCGTTATCTCATGATTATAGAGCTATTTTATTTGTTGTAAGTTCTATGAGAATGACAACTTATAATTATATCATATTCATATCCCGAGTTATGGTTCTATGTCACGTCGATTAGAGACGGTAAAAGTACATTAACCTTTTATTGTATTATAAGACATCAAACCATTACATATTTTGCAAATAAAAACAAATGTTAATTGACAGAAACTATACATTATGATAGTCGAATATAATTTATTAGATGGTTTTTTTTTGTTATGAAAAATTATTAAATATCCTCGACAAGTAAGACTACTTGCTGGAGGTCTGATAGATTATTACTCGCATCCCATATTTAAATCTATATATTAAATCTTAATCAATTCGATTTCATTTTAAAGCATGTCAGATCACACTTTTATACACATTATTTACAAAAATATGTTAAAAGTGCTTTTAAGTTGCTTAAAACAGGTAGTTACAAGGAACAAATAATAATAATATCATTTATTCAATGAAATTTAGTAATAGACATTTGTTAAATTTTTCAGATCTTATTTTTTGGTTCATTTGTTCATTGAGAGACGTTAAATTACACAAACAAGGGAACGAGCGGACCAGTTAACAGGACCGGGACCATTTCTGGAAATAAAGTTGTTACCAGTTACCAAATTGATTTCGCAATAAATCTATTATTAAGCGCTCTGCATGACAAGTTGCGTCGCTTCATCTTGTTGGACCCAAATATCTGATTTAGCGATGTTTAACTACCATATAAATTTTTTGAAAACAACAATTTATGTTAGTCAGCATGACTCGATAGCGCTCGCATTCACTGTAGCAGCAGCTCATTCCTCATTTCGTCATTTCAAAAGGAATGAGGACCATTCTTCAATAAGGAAACAATCAATTTTAATGGATATAATGTTTATTCGTTAACGGCTTGAAGATTAACTTCGCTCCATGTATGCCAATTTTGCTTATTGATGCAGCCAACTAGACCGATTATGTTGACCGTAAAATGGACGAAATTGAAATTGTTGACCGTACTCTATGAACTTCACGAACAGATTTATTGTTTCAAAGTAAATTAGCACAATTTGGAAGGTTTGTTCTAGCGTTAAACGATTCATGATGAATGGCCAGACCTTACTGAACAGAAATGTCAACACAGTTTGACATTCTCAGTTGTCAAACCATAGTTTTGTTCTCATGCACCCTATAGAAACCCCTGAATTTTTCATAACTCCTTAGATTAGTTTAAACTTGTGTGTCAGCACAATTTTTGTCAGTCCGATCTTAGCTCAGTCTGATCTCGTTTTTGATGCAGCTCGATGATGTTTGGTAGATTTTTCTGCCATTTATGATCTGTTAATCTTAAAAAATAATTATGTATATGTTTTTTAGCATCATATAATAATATCACTATTTGTGCATCTACTATAATTTTTGTGTTTTATATGTTAATTGAAATACATCCGATTGCATTTTATTTATAATCTAAGTTAATAAAAATACATCCCTTTTTGTGTAGATCGTAATTTTTCACCAAATTATCAATTGACAAGTACAACTGTTGCATGTCAATTGGTGCAATTATGGACATAGTTCTGAACATATTTAAAATGTTTTTTTTAAAAACTAATATTTATTTACACTGAGCAGTTTTACTCTAACTTCTATTGCCCAAAGACATGCACCAGAAAGCAACTGCATTATGCTCAACGTTTTTATTATTCACGTTCATAAAATTTTCATGGGGAAACCCATTGCACCTTCCGTTGGGACCAGTTTTACCGACAAATATGTCGTCATACATAAAAGAATTAACCCAAATAAGTAATGTGGTATGTATCATTAATATTCTAAGTCTTACTAAATTAATTACTCCTTCTGTTAATACAATATTATAGCACGATATGATTATGTTTCACAAATACCCCGCAGAGACGCATTTTGTACAAACTGCAGATGGCTATATATTAGAGTTGAATCGCATAACTAGAAATGGAGGACGTCCTGTTTTATTTGTGCACGGTTTACAAGGCTCTGCAATGACTTGGGTTATGATGGGACCTTCAGCGAGCTTGCCATATATGTTGTATAATCAAGGTTACGACATTTGGTTGGCAAATGTAAGAGGTTGTGTCTTCTCGAGGCAACATATAAAATATGATCCGAACTTGGATCCAATTTATTGGCAATTTAGTTGGCATGAGATTGGCATGTATGACTTGCCAGCTATTATTGATTATGTGCTTTATAAAACTGATGCAAAACAATTAACCTATTTTGGGCATTCACAAGGTGGTACGGCTTTCTTTGTGATGGCATCTATCTTGCCGGAATACAATAATAAAATTAATTTAATGCATGCACTTACGCCTGCTGTTTATCTATCACATATGAGAACTTCATATAGAATTATGGGAGAAAAACTTTTTCAGGTACTTTCAACATTTTTAATTATGGAGAATATTAACTATTAATACATTTTAAATAAAATTACAGTCTACAGGTTTCCCATTTCTAGGTGAACTTAATATGCCTGCTGGGCGATTATGTTTAATCAGTAGTGTAGTCCTATCTACTTGCCTCAATGTTATTGATGAAATGTTAGGGCCTAACATTGAAAACATAAATCCGGTAAGCTATATTAAAAAAAAAAATAATAAATAATAATTTTTATTGTTAATTTTTTCTTACCAAAAGTGATGCCGTCATATGACGAAAAGAAACTATTTGAGAGTTAAAAGGGGTCGAATAGAAATGAAAATACAGCAACAAAAATTTCAGTTAATGTAACGCTGTTTCAAGTTCTTGACAGGGATCGATTACCCTTTCTATTCATTTCTATTCGAACCTTTCTAACTAATAAATATTTCAAATTATTTGATTTTATATAACATAACATAGGTATAACATGGCTTCTGTGATAACAGTACTCTTTTTATTTTATATAAAATACATTTTGTGTGAAAAATATCCGGATATATCAAATAAAACATAAAAAATGCGGTCCGTCGATTCTCGATGGGGTGAAATCCTCCAAACATATTACGTAGCTTAATGGAAGTGTATCCTTAAACCCTTTCAATTAGTTTTTCTTGACCACAATCGACGTGAAACGTCTTTCTTGAAATGGTGATTTAAACCTTGCTAATAGAAAAACGTCGCAGTGGACCATTTCATGTAAAGAAGGTGTTTGAAGAAACATTTGAACAATGAATTAAATGAATTTGAACAATGGATTTTTACTATTCTAGAAGACTGAAAGATATAATTCAAAAAATGATTAGTATAAAGACAATAGGTATTAGATAGCGGTCAAATCTGGCATTGTAAAAAAATAAAGTGGTATCAACTTCCAAAAAAAAAATTATTGTGTTATTAATTTCGCGAGTTTTTTAAATTATAAATTCCGAATACTTTTTATACAGAATGTAAGTTATATAGCATATATATATTTATTATAATCCCAACAATATTTTTATAAAATTTAAATATTTTTATTTATTACAGGAAATGATACCGGTTTTATTTTCTCATTTCCCTAGTGGTTCTGGTATACGACAAGTAGCTCATTTCTTTCAAGTTTATAAAACCGGTGTATTTGCTCCATTTGATGAAGGTTTTTGGTTAAATAATACAAACCATCCTTCACCTTATCCTTTGCGTAATGTTAAAGCTCCTGTTGCTTTGTATTATTGTAAGAATGACTTTTTAATTGGTGTTGAGGATATGCAACGCTTGGCTCGAGAACTTCCTAATGTCGTAGAAAATTATCTGGTGCCTCTAGAAAAATGGAATCACATGGATCCTATTATAGGTTCAGATGCAAAAATCATTTTATATGATAAAATTATACAAGTACAGAAAAAACTAATTGACTTATAGTTATATTAAACTCCTTTTATTTATTCTATATGACATTTTATAATATATATCTTCAAGCTTTAAGACATTATTTGATGTTTGTGAAGTAAGTAAATTAAATCAATTTTTATAGTTTATATAATCATATTATGTAAAATATTACAAAAAAGCGTAAGTAATGTATAGACTTTACCAAATAGTGTAGATATTCTTGGCATTACTTTAACTTCTACACTCAATCACATACAAATTGCTGACAAATATGTAAAATATCCGGATAGAGATTGGTTATACTTGAGTGTACTATATTAATATTGGTTTCATTAGCTCATTGGAATTAAAGTGATGCATTGTTAGGTCCTTTATCCTTTAATATCGAAGAACTCAAAATGAATTATTAAGTATTTTTTCAGTAAAAGAGAAACTCTTTAAACTCTTGAAGGATTTGTTTAGTTTTTGCTAAGAACAATTGTATTGGACATGATATTCTGAATTCGATAAACGACAAATCAGAGTATAATCTTCTGAGAGAAAAGATAATATATTATATTGGGCAAAATCTGTTGCGTTCGATACGAGAACACAAATGTCGGCTGAGATATATTTACTCTATTTGTTTATAAATATAATAAAAAGAAATTGAGCATTTCTCTTTAATATTGTATTGTTACGATTTTTAAGCTCTTATTTTGGCGTTTCAGATTATCATAGGTAGTGATTATTTTGAGTCCCAGTAGACTAGAAGTGGTTTAGTTACCTCTACTACGGAGTAGATTATTGACAATTCGCGTTTCAGATTACCATAGGCGATGATTATTTAGAGCCACAAGAAAACACTGTGAGATAACAAATACCTTCCATTAAACTTTGTCAAATGCCTTAAATTAACTCTAGCTCTTTCCAGCTCTCAGGTCTAGCTTTTATCTGGCTTTTCCATGTGTTATGTAGTAGCATAAGTTTTTAATTTCAGTTTGGGAAATAACCAGTAACGGTACAAATCCAAATTAGATAAATGCGGTTAATGATCAATAAATATGATTCCTTTTTAGCCAAAAAATGTACGGACCATGATGTCTTTAAACAATGGTGTATTATCGTGCAACAAAATCAATTGCATGGCTCTCAATATTCCGATCGAATTTGTTTTACTTATGTTTATTGATTTTTGGTGGCAATTCCTAATCATCGTTTTTAAGGTTCGTTAGACTATTTTAACTAACACCTCTACGAGGTATGAAATGCCTATCGTAAGATATGGCTTAAATCCAGTGGACAATACCCGATACTGTTTGCAGTATTAATAGTTGTGATAGTTCAGCTTTAATAACGCAAAAAAGAAACATGTTTCATATGGAATTTCTGTCACCAAAACAGATTAATAGCTCTAAAAGATTTTGTGAAATGAATAGTGAAATTGGTACAATAAGACTCTTCTGGTCGCAATATCGGCTGTTGTGCGATTTCACGTCAAAACTTTTAATAATAAATAGCAGTGAGTCGGTCAGGTGCAGTAAGCGTAAGTGTCGGTATAAATATGATACCACGGGGATCAATGGAAGTATATTCATTTCTTTCATTTCGATATAGAGTTGCGTTTTACAATCGCCTGCTGTGTGAAGGTGCGAGCAACAGCAATGTTGTTATATGGACCTCGCTCCCTTCCAAAGAGGAAACTATATTCAAACGTAAACCTTCAATCAGCTTTTTAAACAAATGTTTACCAGTCATATCATAATGAAATAATAATAAATAAGTATATCTTATATATATTATCAAATATGGTTCTTCAATTTAATTTGAGATTTGGCTTAAACCTTTCAGTCTCCCTTTAGTTATGTGCCTGTTAGTTAATTAATAAGAACATATCCTATAAAGAGACTAGTTATTAATAGTTAAAGTTAGGGCAAATTTATTAAGCTCATTAGAATAAATGCTATATTTATTTATAATGTATTAATATTTGCAAGCATAAAAAGCAATTAATTTCGAATAACATTCAACTAAAGCATTTATAGAATAAAGAAATAAACTGTGAAATGTTTTTATGATTTTATATAGCAAAAATAAAATATAAATTTTATTTTATGATATACACCCATACATTACAATTATTATAAGATTTTACCACATTTAATGAGTTTTATATAATTTAAAATTAAAAGACAACTAAGAAGCCAGTTGAAAATGAAAGGAGAAATGGAAGAAGAAGAGCAGGAACGATGAGAGAAAGTATAAAAAAATCTATTCTCCAGATACTCGCATGCGACAATGACACTTGTTTTGCATATTTCCACTGCTTACGTGCTCTTCTTCAGATACACTTGCGTTTGCCACAAGTTTTTATAGGGACATACCATCATATACTTTTAAAATTCCCAACTCACTTGACATGACGAACATTTCGAAAAGCACTTGTACCTACTTTACACCGGCACTTATTACGTTATTTGATAGATGAATATATACATGTATCTATATGAGTAAATATATATATATTATATATATATTATACATACAATATTTGGTTTCATTTTTTATGTGCAACAAGGCAACCAACTGGCAGCACCTTCAGCAGGGTCTTTGCATATAAAATTCTTGTACTTCGGTTAAAGTTATTTTTACATAATATATAAGTAGATAAAATTTCATTTTTATTTTATACGTATACGAGTACAAAATCTTTTTTATTATTTTTATTTTTATTTTTATTTATTTTTTATTTTTAATTTTTCAAACTCTTGGCATATTTAATGCTGACAGCTTAAATTGCAACGTGAAACGTTTCATTGCTCCAATGTGGGGTTGTTGCTGTTGTTGTTGTAGGTGTTGAGATACTACCACGACCTGTCGTATGTCATGTCAGCTCGATTATAATGACAATGTTGTCCCTTGTGCTTACAAGTAACCGACATGATTGCAGATACCTTTGTATAAGCCATCCACATGCCTCTGCTATGGATACGGTTTGTTAAGCCAGACAATATAAAAGTGTGAATTTTAAAATTCTTCGGCTTGTGTGATTTCCACTTATCAACACCTTTTGTGTAAGTGACAGCAACTTCCATGCCAGAGCACTCTATTCGAAATTTCAGTTATAAATTAAGGAGAGAAAAATGTGCTTATGTGCACATTAAATACCGGAACAAAATAATTGCCTGCAATTAAGAAAGAATTTCAACTATAAAATGTTACAAAAAATATTCACAACAGCCGCTTATCAACACATCTAGAGAGTTCGGTAGATATATTGATAAATTCACACAAAATACATTAAGTGAAATAATCACTGTAAGGAACACCTGCTGTTAGAGCATTTAAATCGTTTTCACTATTCACACTCGTATCCGTTTCCGTAAATATATTGTCAGCATAAGCGATACATTTGTCCAGTTCAGAAGCTTATTTTGCTCGCCAAGTTTTGCCTTAACACATCATACACATGTACTTACATACTCCTCATTGAGCTGTATTCGGTTAGGTTCGGTTGAGTTCGGTTCGGTTCGGTTTATATTATATTGGATTGCATTAATTTGGCTAGAGCTGCAGTAAGTCCAAATTGGAAGCACAAACGCCTGCCTGTCACTGACAGCTCGCAATCAATCACTTTGTTTCCGGTCTCAGTGACAACTTTTTACTGCCTCGTACGCTCACTACACTCACAATCACTACAATTCCGTAAAGTGTCAACATGTTTGTCTTATAAGCCATAATCTTTCGTATTTTAATACAATAAATTACATGACCACAATAATACATGAAAAATTACCAGAAATTAAAATAAAATCACTGCAACGACTTTTAAACGCCCCTAACATTATATATGGATGCTATATATACAGGGTTAGACGATTGATGCGTTTCCAACTGCATACAGTTATATCTGTCAAACTGATATCGCCAGATATGTAAAATTCATACAAATGACAGTTTACAAGCTACCATAAGCATTTACGTCTACGTTTTATAGAACAAAAATTTTTCAAAATCGAATTCAAACGTAATACTGAGATTGCTGGAAAATCACAACCAGCTACTGTTCATAAACTCAAATTGACTAAAATATTTGTGTATCATACCATAAATCGTTATAATAGTACAGGCAGTGTCGCCAAACGCTATAGTGGTGGACGACAAAAAAAAACAGCAACATCACCTAAAATGGTGAAATGGATCGGAAAGTAAAGCCGAAGGCTTAACTTAAACGAAATTCACGTTATAGTGATAATCAAATGGCAAAAGAACTGAAAATATCCCAGTGAAGCATCCGACGCATACTCCAAAATGAGTTCCAAGTAACTAGCTTGTGCCTCTCAAATTCCAAAAGACACAAGATCTTACACCAAAGCAATAAAAAGTTGGACTCGAAAGAGCAAAGGAGTTGTTACAATTGCACGAAGCTGGCAAATTTACAAACATTGTATATCTGATAAGAAAAATTTCCCACTGAGACACTGACACATGAGATGGAGCACAGTTTCTTACTCATTCACAAAGCCACAACCACAATAGTATATATATAATATAATACTAAATAAAAATATTTAAAGGGTATTTAAGTTTTAATTAATATGGGTTTAAACAGCCGATCACATTATAAGCAAAGAATTATCTAGTATAGAGATTAAGTAGTTTAAGGGTATCATAATGAACAAAAGCTGTCTTTAACTGTAAGTATTATTATTCGTTTTAATGCCTGATAGATTATCCATTTTATAGTTCTAATTTAACAGCACTGTTTTTGAGATAAAAATCAAATGAAACTGTCACATAAAATGTGATAAAATATTCTTAGCTTATGATTTGCTATGAATCTTTAATAACCACTGAACGGGTTTAAATTGTGAAAATTTATCATTAAATTGGTAACAATGTTAAAAGTACTCATAAGGCTCATTTTCCGTTTAGTAGAAAATTAGCAAACGCTATAACCACAATAAAGACCATTGCCTCTAAAAAAAGTCACTGAATAGTGTGCCATTAGGTCCAGAGGTGTAATATTTGAAAATGATAAATTCTGACAC